ATATACATATATATATATATATATATATATATATATATATATATATATATATATTTGTTGTTTTGCTCGTGTAACACGATTGATGTTGGGTTCTGTGTGTTTAAATTGTTTGTTGGCGTTTGAAAAGAGTTTAATTTGAGCGATTACATTGGAATTTTTTTAGTCAAAATGACGGCTTCTTGTTATCTTTGTTCTGGGTATCTTTTATTTTGGTATTTTTACTTCTTTTGGTTCAGTTGAAAACTGAAAAATGTTGTTTGTTTGGTTGTGGTTATGTTGGGTTTGCTGTTTTGAGATTAATGCGTTTTTTGGATTCTTATGTTTTCTATGCTCAAGTTCTTGTTTTCATTTTGAGGGGAGATGGTTTGATGTTCCTTTAGAGTTTGAAAAAAATGGATCTGGGGTTTCATAATTCTGCCATGGGTTTTAAAATTAAAACACTTCGCTTATACGCTTATTGTGCTGGCTGGCTATATAATTAATTTTCTAATATGTAGTGCTCGTAAATGTTTGTCAGTGGTATGATGCGTTTGTTTGGAGCATTTTATTCATATTATTTGGAAGAATACGTTTTATATTTTTTCTGGTTTTATTGATTTTTGTTTTTTTTGTTCAACTTTTGCCGAATACGGTTGAACATAGGGATGACATTTTTTTCTTATAATCTTTGAATCCAATCTCTAATATTTACTAAAACTTGTGAGAAATCTTGTGTTCGTTTAAATCTACTTCATTTGAAATAGAAAATGACAATGTGCCTGCTTTATTTAAAATGGCTATCGAAAACAGAAAACTCAGTTGCTTCTAGGCCTCAATTTTTTGAGAAAAATGGCCTACTCTGTCGGTAGGCTTATTTATGGTTTGTCTAAGTGGATTTTAATTTAGCAAAACTATGCAGAGAAGAGTCACTTGTTGTAGCAGGCAATCATAAGAGACATGGTGTTTAAAGGCATCTGACGCATTCTAAATATAGCAAGCTTTGGTGTTGTGCTTGTCCTTTGATTAGAACCTGTCTATAGTTTGTTTCTTCAGTAGGCAAACCTCGTCTTGCCAATGACATAAAACCCATTTATTTTGGTGGCATATGCACTGTTTTTGAATGATTATTTATTTAATTACACGTGTAAAACATTTGTTTGATTCATCTGATGGTATATATTAAGTCACTGGCCTCTTAAAATGGCCCAACATTTCCATGCGTATGCAATTCATTTCTTTCTTAGACTCCGAGATACAAGTAATCTATTAAATTCTCTCTAAAGTTTGATTTTTAGTTATTTCAACTTTTTTCGCTTCTACAATTGTTGTTACTTGTGCTGTGCCATAGATTGATGATGTCTGCAAAAGCTAAAAACTCTCTTTGTTACTTTTTGGCAGAGATGGCTTCAGCTGGGTTTAGTCAAAACGGTGATTACATTGAGGACATGCCTGCTGAGGAGTTACTCTCTGTGGACTTCTCTGATGGATATGATGTCTTTGGAGAACAAGAGTTGTTTCCTCGTGTTGGAGAACAGTTCCAGGTTGAAATTCCGTCATTAATCACAGAATCTGACTATCTTTTATATACAAAGAACCCAATAGATGCTGAAAACAGGGCTTGTGTTCCCTTTAACTTTCTGATTGGATTATCAGTACCACTCATGTGGGTCAATAAGGAAGTTGAGAATATGAAACATGAAATGCTGCAATCACTTGGTGGTTCAACCGATGCAGCCAGCAAAAATGGACATTTACTCTCTGAAATTGTCAGAGAGCCCCAGTTTCGCTTGAAAGACGAAGATGTACAGTTTAAAGTTGAGCCATTGGATCTTACATTGGATTCTGGGATAGCAAAAGGAGAATTGGCGAACTTAACTTTGGAAGATAAAATGCATCAGTATAGGGGGCTAGCCTGCTGTTTAGTTCCTGGCTCTGTTGGTGATTTCTGGAGTGACAGTGAAAGGGCAAGTTTCCTTCTTGGTTTGTATATCTTTGAGAAAAACTTTGTCCAGGTGAAGAGATTTATTGAGAGTAAGGAGATGGGGGATGTACTCTCATTTTACTACGGGAAGTTTTATAGGTCCAATGAGTATCGTAGATGGTCCGAGTGCCTGAAAATGAAAAGCAGAAAGTGTGCATATGGGCAAAGGATATTTACTGGATTGAGGCAACAGGAATTGTTATCTCGTTTGTTTCCTCATGTGTCGGAGGAATGCCAAAATGCTGTGTCTGAGGTATTTTGTAAAGTACTTTTACATAATGTTCGTTTTTCCCCCCTGCTAAGTGATAGTCATGTATACTTAAGGCCATTTCTTTGTTAAAGGTAACGTGCTTGAGCTGTGAAACATGATAACACAAGTTTGTTTGAGCTTGAGACCAGTTACTTTGTGCCAAAATGCCAAACTTTAGGTCTGCATCCATTCCAATACTCTCGGAGCCCAAGTGAGACTGTCTGTTTAATGGCCACCAGGGTCAAAAGTAATTGGACTCCTTTTCATTTGGCAAACTTTTTTTTTGGATAGGACACACTTTTCACAAAACATCACAAGCTCAGCTAAAAAATTGCCTTTTTAATTACCTGTCAGAAGATTACTTTTTCCATTTTTTTTTTTGCATAGATTAGCTTTCTTCTAAATATTCCATCTCTTGTGTGTAGATGAACTGTGTTATCATATGGAAGTTTCTAAGTTCTGCTCCCATAATTCTCTCGTCCTCTACTGGTTTGATTGGAAAGTTTGTTCGCATATTGTTTGATTAGAGGTTTTCATAGTGGAGACAACGAATTTACACAGTTCCATTGTGTTTGATGTGGTTTGTTCATTGTTCTTTTCTAATTCATGGGGAGTTGTCATTACTTTTAAGGCTGAAATATCTGCAGATAGTTTAGAGAATTGAACTTTTGCTCCTTATTTACCGAAGATACTGCATTCTTCTTAGACTTCCACCAAGTATTTATATGAAAATCCAATTAAAAGCTTGAATCTTTTTTAGGTACTTGAAATTAAGCAAAAAATTTTCAAAAAATGGAATCAGAGATCAAGCTCCTAGAAAGAGCAGCCAACATAATGACAATATTTAGAGGGACAAAGAGATAGGCCACTACGATGTTTTACAAATGAGATAAGCAATTTGCCCTACAGTTGGGAAGCGGTAATGCAAAATGGAATTATGCATATGCAGAATTATTTTCAAGTGCACAAGCAATCATTGGAGGCATTGCAAGGATGACTTTACTTGAAACTAAAACATGAAAAATAAAGAATTACAAAACGGTCTACAAAATGGCAAAGGAAGTTGTATTATGATTCCTGCTGATTGATATTGGTCCCATCAATTGTGTGCCACATTTGGTTAAGACGTTATATTGACTTTGGCATTGATGCATCAATATCACCAAAAGGGCACGCATATTGCTAATCCTATGGAGAAATTAGTTTTGTTGTTGCTAGGGTGCAATTTAGGTACTAATCCGTGTCTTCCTAATCAAGGCATCTTCAAATAGTGCATTGTCGCATTTTGCTAGCCAGTTAGAATCAAGATACAATTCAAATTCTTTTTGAGACATTTTGGTACGATGCCACCGCTCAGATAACTCCAACTACGAGATTGGAAATAGACCTACTCCCTCAATATATTAAAGGTAAAATTAAATAACTGGGGATGGTATTTGATATTGGTAGATAAGGTTTTCCAAAACTGGTAATCTCTTAGACTAGTCCTGGCCGGTCTTTACATTTGTTAAGCCCTTATGTTTTGCCTGCGGTTTCCATTTGCCTTTTTGCTCTTGTAGTTTAAGCTTCTCAAAAATTCCTTGTCTTCTTGTTCATTGCAAAATTTCACAATGGATGATGACTATGCCAGATTTAGATATTTAGTGTATAAATTTATTTTTTACATCATCTCAGAAACTTAAAACCTTGTTTGTCTATGCATTTGATCTATTGGCAGGTCACTAAGACATTTGGAGAGGGGAAAATGTCATTACACGAATATGTCTTCTCTTTAAAGGCTATGGTTGGGATGAAAGTTCTTGTAGAGGCTGTGGGAATTGGTAAAGGTAAGCAAGATCTTACAGGCATTGCCTTGGAGCCTTTGAAGTCAAATCAAACCATACCCTTGCGTCCAGAGATACCAACAGGCAAAGCATGCTCCGCCCTTTCGCCCAGCGAAATTATCAAGTTTCTAACTGGAGACTATCGGTTGAGCAAAGCTCGATCTAACGATTTATTCTGGGAGGCCGTTTGGCCCCGTTTGCTGGCAAGAGGGTGGCACTCGGAGCAGCCTAAGGATCAGGGTTATGCTGCTGCTTCTAAGCATTCATTGGTATTCCTTATGCCTGGTGTCAAGAAGTTCTCAAGACGAAGACTAGTGAAAGGAAAAGACTATTTTGATTCTACTACTGATGTCTTGAGTAAAGTTGCTTCAGAACCAGGGATTCTGGAGCTTGATTTTGAAGATGAAGGCAGGAACAGTGGAGAATATGAGTGGATAAATGAAACAAAACTGCAACAAGATGATTTGCCTGAACGGCGTCGTCATTCTTATCTTCAGCCTCGAACTCCAAGTCGTAGTACAGATGCGATGAAGTTTACAGTTGTAGATACCAGTCTGGCTGGAAAACCATTCAAGGTGAGGGAGCTAAGAACTTTGCCATTTGAATTTTCGAATAAGTTGACCTCTGGAAGTCATTTTGAAGATAGTGAGGAGGATGCTTCTGACGTGTCAACTGATGTGTCAGACACTGCTGATGCTATGTTACTGGATCAAGAAGAGACAAAGAATGACATACCAACAAAGACTTTATCTGAAAGGCTAATGTATTTGGACCGGAAAGATCTGGAAGGTAGTGCTTTAAAGCTGAAAATTGCTAGTAATGGTTCGGATTCCATGAATGCACCTTTGAATAATTCCAAGAATCACAACAAATTGTGTGCAGAAAAGCAGCCTAAAAAGGCTATAAAGTGCCAATTGAGCAGGAGACTGAAACAAGACAACTTAGATTTTTCAGCCCCTATGGCGAAACGGCGTCGCAGATTAAATACTTGTAGGCAAGCAGAGACAAGCCATGACACAGTTCCGGTGACTTCCATATTGGATAAAGAGATGTGTAGTTGCCGTACAGACAATCCTAATTCAACGGAGGACATTTTCCCTCAGGTGTGCTTATCTCAGGATAAGCTATCATCTACCAGTTCATCAAAGGCCAGCCCCGTTCAGAGCACTGAAGGTTCTCCCACCGGCAATTGTCATGATGCTGAACATCCTAATGAGAAACACCAACCTCGCACCTTGATAGATTTGAACATACCTCAAGTTCCACCGGATTTTGAAAGTGGCGTCTTTATAGCGGGATCAACAGAAGGGCAGGATCAAAACACGAGTAGGGAGCCAGATGATCCATGTGCACTGAAAACTGCTTTGAATGCAGCCAGTTCCCAGCAGCAGCTTAACATGAACTCCCGGAGGCAGAGCACAAGAAACCGGTTGCCAACCACAAAGGCACTGGAAGCTCTTGCAAATGGATTCTTAACCATTAATGAGAGACGACGGAGTAAAGGAGGCGGTCCACAAGCATCAAGATCTTCCAGACGTGCCCGTGTTGGGATGAGGTTTCCCGAGTCTTGTATAGATACTGTGGCTTCCATGGTAGAAGAAGGTGGGGATGGTGTGTGTAATGCCGATACCAGCAACATGTTTAGCCAATATCAGATTCTGCCCGAGGGAAAGGAGGGGAGTCAAGTTCCAGGCCCCTAAATTGGTGAGATGTTAAAATTGCAACTTGACTTGTGAGATTGTGACTTGTAGCGGTGCTGGTTAACATATGTTCCGGAAAAATGAGTGCTTGGGTTGTTACATCCACTGGTGGTTCTTGGTGCATATTCTGTTGGCTTGCATCAACAATGCATTGTGTATGAGCGGTGTGACAATACTTTCCCTCAGCTGACTGGTGACATAAAAACAAATTCTTCGCATGGGTTTACATGATGTGGTCTTGCTGTGATGACCTTATCAGATAAGGCACCCACCGCTTGCAGATTCTGATGAACCATAGCCGGAGTTGGGGAAAAAGTCTGCACCTTTCAAGCTAGATAAGATTTTGGTTGAACCGATACTTCATCTTTTGTGAACTCCCATTGTGGTAAGGCTGATCAGTCTCAAACTCTTCAGTAACTTGGCTTGGGACCAGAAGAATATTGAACCCGTTTCAACCAACGTTCAAGTGACCCTCTGTTGTGCTCATTCTGGGTAGTATATACGACTCGTAATAGTCGAATCAGGGGCAGTGAATATAATTCTCTGGTGTAATGTTACATATTTCGTTATATTCGATTGGTTGCCAGGAGGGAATGAAGAGAGTTTCTTATGATCTCATTGGCAATAAACACCACATTGGTATTACCTTATTTTCTTCTTCGTTTTCTTGTTTCTTTTTTCTATCTTTCTGGATTCATACTCTTTATAACTTTGTTCAATAAGAGAGGTAAACATTTATGTGGTTTATAATTCCTATGATGGAAATGTTCACTGTGGCATGAATGAATCTTTGTGCAATTTGATTTGGCCAGTTCAGTATTCTCTCAAGGAATGGGAAGAACAAAGAAAATAAAAGGATTTTGACAAAAAAAATTCATGTGGGGCTGTCATCATTTACAAGTTTCTTGGTTTGATTCGAAGCTGCCACTTGTATTCTTCAATGTTTTTATTTTTTATTTTTTTTCATTGCTAACTTTGTGAGGCTGTCATTGTCTCCATTTTATTACTTGTCATTTACTTTTGAGTAAATCTCAAGAGTCGTTGAAGTGATAACAACGATGAGAGATTTATTTTTTATTTATCTTGATGTGGATGACCTATTGATTATACTAGGGAAAAGATTAATTGAGATGTGCGTAAGTTGATTCGGACATTCCTAACAGTTAAAAAAAAAAAAAAAAGGAGTACTGAAATAAACACACTTTCTTCAAAGATTTTGAAGATTAGTTGTTAAGAGAATAACTTTATTTTTAGAAGTTATTTTTTTGGCGAGTTATTAGATGTAGGGATGACAGTGTACCAAGGGAAAATGAGTATTCGTCCAAATCCACTCCGTTTGAACCAGGAATAGATTATACGTATTGGACGGTGGACGTATANACTTTATTTTTAGAAGTTATTTTTTTGGCGAGTTATTAGATGTAGGGATGACAGTGGACCAAGGGAAAATGAGTATTCGTCCAAATCCACTCCGTTTGAACCAGGAATGGACTATACATATTGGACGGTGGACGTATAAAGGGATACCCGTATAAACCCGTACGGGGATGGATTAATCCTTACCCCCGCCCCGCCCCCTCCTCGCCCCCGCTACCCGTTATATATATATATATAAATACTTCCAAGCCCTAACTAAATATATTTATTGTAACTATATATGATAATTAAACTAACAAGTGACATTGCTATGTAGTAATCGTATCAATTTTTTTCCTTGATTGTTCTTTTTTCTATTTGTGCTCACTGATTGAAAAATGTTAAGAGTTTGAATTAATCATACTCTAAAAACAAATAAGAGAGAGTAAGATAGCTTTGCATTTCATCGTGGGTAGAAATACTGTTAATGGAGGTTGATGAGTTTCTCTGCTAGAGTGAACTAAGAAATGAGGAGAATTATTGAATTAATGAAATTTTAATTTTTCATTTTTTAACACTTTATGGATGTAATATGAATTGTAATAACAAAAATTCTTCTAGAAAACTTCAAGTGTAGTGCTATCATTTTCTTAATTCAATTTTATGTTTTTTTTCTTCCTTTCTCTCTAATAGTTCCGCTTCTCTTTTTGTGGTCCAATAACATTTTAAATAGAATACTATATTGTTTTGGCTTTTACATTTTGCAATCTATATTATGTTGTGTTAGATGTTAGATTATTTAGAATGTTGTTGAATTATTTAAAATATTAAATTTATTTAAAATTTTGGATTATGTTACTTGGGCTTGGACTTAGGCTTAGGCTTGGGTGGGTACGGGGGAAGTGGGGACGGGGACGGGGATTAGAAATTTACTTGCGGGACGGGGATGAGATGAAAACTATATCCGTTAACGAGGGTGGACCGGGGATGGACGGAACTTTTTTAAGCGGGTACGGGGATGAAGACTACACTCTTCGTCCCCGCTTCAATCCACTGACATCTCTAATTAGGTGCTTGTAGAGTTTATTTATAGAATTGAGCTATTGGGCACTTAACCTATTTAGCTTTGTGCTCGTGAATTGAGTTTTTACGTTAATTAATGGAGTTCATTTGTTGTTCTTATTTTCGAGATCACTCAGGTTAGAGTCAAATTTGAGTGACTGTATTTTGATTTTTTTTATATATTTTTATTGAGTTGAGCAGTATTTTTGGATGCGTTTAAAAATTTGATTAATATATTCGTATTAACAATGAACATGAATGGAGTTTAATTGATTCGAGCCCTAATGAAAATTGAATGCACTAATTCGTTTGACAATCTTGTTAGATTCATGTGTTTCCTAGTCTAAAATACCTTCCTCTCATTTATATGGATTCTTTCAATGTCACAAAAGAACTTCAAATAATAAAATAATAACAATAATAATAATTAGTTATAGGGAAAAAAATTAGTAATAATTATAGGGTGTAATTTAATTAAATCCTTAAAATATCTCTCTAAAACAAACCGTATTTCTCTTTTTATCTCACAATATATTTCAAATTCTTACTCTATATCTTTTTTTTTTAATTCGGGTTTGTTATCTTTTTTTTTCTTTCTCAAGATTAGATGAAAATAAAGTAATATTTTTTAGTTTACATGTAATAATTTTTTTATTAGATAAATATACCTTTTTAAAACTTAAATAAATTGAAATTTTAATGTAAAACACTAAATTCGAACTCACTTAAAACTTAAATACCTTATTGTTACAATTAAAACTTTAATAGAGGTCAAATAAGAATTAAGTGTGTACTTTATAAATGTACTAGGTATTTTCTGTGCGAGAAATAAAAAAAAAATTGTCGACAATAAATATATTTTTATTTACATCCAAAATCAAATTATAAAGAGAGAAAAGAGAGAAATGAATTTAAGCATCGATTATAGTTGGAGCGAGCAGTGATAGTGATGATGAACGACAGTAGTGGGGGGTAGTTATGGGGTGGTGGCGGTGGGGTGACAACGATGGTGGGGGTATTGTGGTGGTAAGGTGGTGGTGATGATGGTAATGGTGGAGTGATAGGAATGGTGATAATAGTGATGGTGGTGACGGGGCAGTGGGTGTGATAGTGGTGGTGGCGTGGTGACAGTGGTGATGGTTGTTGAAGCTAAGGTGATGGTGTGGTGGCGGCAGTGGTAGTGGTGGTGGTAGTGGTAATGGTGGTGGGGATAGTTGTGGTGGTGGGGCGGTGGGATAGTTACAAATACTACTTATTTTTTTTTTAAAGTACGTATAAAAAGTTATAAATTCTGAAAGTACTTTAAAAAAGTTATCTCAAATACGCCCTTATAGGCCTATTTTTTTTTATTAAATTTGGAATATTAATTTTAGTCGTCAGATTAACTTTAAAATAAAATTTAAAAATATATCAACTGTGAAAAACANATACGCCCTTATAGGCCTATTTTTTTTTATTAAATTTGGAATATTAATTTTAGTCGTCAGATTAACTTTAAAGTAAAATTTAAAAATATATCAACTGTAAAAAATAAAAGTCATTTTATTTATTTTTTGACATTTGAATTGTATTATACTTTATTATATAAATAAATAATAATTTATTCATAATTATAATTTGTAGCTCACACAATGATAAAATCACCCGTGTGAGTGTGACACCCCCAAGCATCGCCCACACAAATAACTCTACATGTCTACTCTGTTTTCAACCGTGGATCTTTAAACGAAGTTAGTTGCCCCAATAATTATCTCGTTGATAGATGTTACGGTCACGAGTTTAAAACTTGTAATAGAATAATGAGTAAATTATATATGTAATCTTTATAATATTTTTTGTGTTAATTAAGCTTTTGATTTTTGTTAATTTTTTTTTTGTATCAATCGAGCTCCTGTACTCTCTAGTATGGGGGTAACTCGGGCGGGTTGAACAGTCAATCCTAACCTAACTTTAAGTACATAATCTTCAACCTTAATACTAACCCTAATTCTACCTCGGATTGAGAAACTCAATTCGAGCACTGCCTGAGTTTAATTTGGACGGGCTCGGGTTGAATTCAGGTTAATGATTTCGGGTTATTTTACGGGCTGATTTCGGATTATTTCAATCAAATTTTTAACATAAAAATCATAATATTAAGAACTCAATGGGAGAGATAATGCAACCACAACCGTACAGAACACAAATAAACACAACCAGAGGCGAAGACGAAGAAGGCTGAGACTCTAGCGAAAACGAAGAAGGCTAAGAGAGGGCTGAGGGCTGAGACTCTGACATATGAGGCTGAGAGAGGGAAGAGACAAAGGGGAAAAGGATCTGAGAGTGAGAGATAGGTCACAGAGTGAGACTGAGACTGAGACTGAGAGACTAAGAAAGACTGAGAGTGAGTGAGGGTCTAAGGGAGGTGCAGACTTGAGTTGAGATTAATCCTAGGATAAAGTTGTATGTATATAGTATTAATTCGGGTTGAACCCAATTATTAAATCAGGTTGAGCCTGATTTTAATATTTGGGTTCAACCTGTGAACCCGATGGCTCAACCCGAGGCCTGCCCAAATTGAATTCGGATTGAGATTTTTTAACCCGAGTCCAACCCAATTATTAAAAACCCTAGCCCAAGCCCTATTTTTTCAAGTTGGGCTTGGGTTGAAATCGGATTAACCCGTCCAAGTTGCACATTTACTCTTAGTTGTTTTAATCAATGTTATCAGAATCGGACCGGTCATCAAACCGGCAAGGGGACCGGGTCAATGGTTCACTGGTTCAACCGTTAGGTCAACTGGTCGAATCGGTCATATAATAAAAAAATANTCAAACCGGCAAGGGGACCGGGTCAATGGTTCACTGGTTCAACCGTTAGGTCAACTAGTCGAATCNAAGGGGACCGGGTCAATGGTTCACTGGTTCAACCGTTAGGTCAACTGGTCGAATCGGTCATATAATAAAAAAATAAAAATATATATAATAATTATAAAACATAATAATTTAGCTAAAAAATATAAAAAATGTCTAAAATGCATACAATTTGCCATAAAATTTATGAAGTTATAAAAAATGTCTAAAATACACAATGTAAGGCGCGTATTTGAGAAGAGTGACACTAATTTATCAAACACACTGGCAGATGGGATACAACTTAAAATATAAGTAATACAAATCAATACACTATCATCAAAATCAACTTCGAGTTTCAGGCAAACAAGCACATGGTTTAGCATATATTATCAATGATTAAATCAACACATACAATGAGAAATTTGAAAAGGAAATGAATATAATTTGTATTAGCGTTATTGGAAAACAAATGGCTGAAAGGGCAAAAAAAATAGATATCTCTACATTAGCCCACTCATGCATATTTCCAATTTATCGCAAATAGACACCACCACAATAAAATGGAGCAGAAACCCTAAAACGAAAGGAGGAGAAAGGAGACATGATGTCGCCTGAGCACAAAACCAATAATTAAACACTACATGATGTCGCTTGAGCATTGTGTGCGTGAGAAAGGAGAAAGGAGGAGAAATCGATGGTCGCTTGAGCAGAAATCAAGCATTGTCGCCTAAGCAGAAGTCGATGGTCGCCTGGGAATGGAGGGGTTTAGGGAGAAAGATGGGGTGGAGGGCTCGTTGGTCGCTTNTCGATGGTCGCTTGAGCAGAAATCAAGCATTGTCGCCTAAGCAGAAGTCGATGGTCGCCTGGGAATGGAGGGGTTTAGGGAGAGAGAAGAGAGAGATGGGGTGGAGGGCTCGTTGGTCGCCTGGGAATGGAGCGGTGCTTCTGCGATTAGGGCAAAAGAAATGGCCCAAATAAATGAGATTTAAGTCATTTGTCTTCAAACCGTCCGGTTTTATAAAAATCGCTGATTTACGATTTTTTATAAAAATCAGCCGATTTTTTTGTTTTTAACCGGTTCTCTTCCTTATGCAGTCCGATTAGATAATCGGATCGGCTAAGGCCCCGGGTCACGATTGGATCGGTTTGGTCCGGTTCTGATAACACTGGNAATAAATGAGATTTAAGTCATTTGTCTTCAAACCGTCCGGTTTTATAAAAATCGCTAATTTACGATTTTTTATAAAAATCGGCCGATTTTTTGGTTTTTAATCGATTCTCTTCCTTATGCAGTCCGATTAGATAATCGGATCGGCTAAGGCCCCGGGTCACGATTGGATCGGTTTGGTCCGGTTTTGATAACACTAGTTTCAATTTAGTTCTTTTGTTTGACTCTGTTAAATTTTTTAGGAAAGTGATGAAGTGTGTCACTCACCGGACACAAATTGTTAGAGTAAATTATACATATAGTCTTCAAATTATAACCTTTGTGTCAATTAAGTTCTTAATNTTGGATCGGTTTGGTCCGGTTTTGATAACACTAGTTTCAATTTAGTTCTTTTGTTTGACTCTGTTAAATTTTTTAGGAAAGTGATGAAGTGTGTCACTCACCGGACACAAATTGTTAGAGTAAATTATACATATAGTCTTCAAATTATAACTTTTGTGTCAATTAAGTTCTTAAATTNACGATTGGATCGGTTTGGTCCGGTTTTGATAACACTAGTTTCAATTTAGTTCTTTTGTTTGACTCTGTTAAATTTTTTAGGAAAGTGATGAAGTGTGTCACTCACCGGACACAAATTGTTAGAGTAAATTATACATATAGTCTTCAAATTATAACCTTTGTGTCAATTAAGTTCTTAATTTTTTTTTATCAATTAAGTTTCTAAACTCTCTAATTGTATTAATTGAGTCATTTTGTCTTTTTTTGTCATATGGTCAAGTGAGTGACACACTAACAAATGTAGACAAAATAGTTTTATTGATACAATTAGAGAGTTTAAGAATTCAATTGACATAAAAAAAAAATATTCAAGAACTTAATTGATACAAAAGTTATAGTTTACGGGCTATATATATAATTTACTTTAGAATCATCGGGGCTCACTGCAGCTTTTGNTTTTTTTGTCATATGGTCAAGTGAGTGACACACTAACAAATGTAGACAAAATAGTTCTATTGATACAATTAGAGAGTTTAAGAGTTCAATTGACATAAAAAAAAAAAATATTCAAGAACTTAATTGATACAAAAATTATAGTTTACGGGCTATATATATAATTTACTCTAGAATCATCGGGGCTCACTGCAGCTTTTGAAAGTCAACCTGGACAACCATCTCACTTATAGAGCAAATTTTGAATGAAATGATGATATATATTAGTAATGTAGATGGTATTATTGATCAATAATAAAAATAATTATTTAATAATTATTTATTTGAAAGAAGGGAGAGTAATTTTTTATTTAGATTGAGGGTGCAACTTGAGTTGGGTAACCCGAGCCCAACCCAAAAAAATTAGAGTTTGGGTAAGGATTTTTAATATTTGGGTTGGTCTTAGGTTAAAAAATTCTAACTCGAATTCAATTTGGGTTGGGCTCGGGTTAAGGCCTTGTGAAGCCGAGTTTAACCCAAACCCGATAAATTAAAAAAAAAATTTATATATATAAAGTATTAACACTAATTTTTTATTTTTATTCTATCGTTCTCTGTCTCTCTCGTTCTTTTTGCCTCTCTTGTTCTCTCAGCTTCTTTCGTTAAAAATTTAGTTGAAGTTATTGATTATTAATTTAAGTGAATATTATGTAATATATGTATTAAATTTAGAACAACAAGTCTATTTTGGAGTCTACTCAAATTCAACCCGTAAAATAACTTAAAATCATCAATCCGAATTCAACCCGAGCCCGCCCGAATTAAACTCGGACAGTATTCGGGTTGAGTTCCCTAACCCGAGATAGGGTTAAGATTAAAGTTAGAATTAAAGATTATATACCTAAAATTAAACTAAGGTTATTTGTCCAACCCGCCCGAGTTGCGCACCTAATTTAGATAGTGAGTTGGTTGTTGAATATTTTCTCCTCGCTTCAATCTCTGGCGAGAGGGTTGGCACACACGCACGCATAACGTTTATATGTATGAGAGAGAGAGAGAGAGAGAGAAGAGAGGCATTAATTTTAAAGATAGAGGGAGAGAGATGGGTCAGGCATTTCGTCGAGCAACTGGAAGGATCCGGAGCACGAGTGTCGATACGACGCCTTCTTCATCTTCTCAGCTGAAGAAAACCGTTGACCGGACACCATCGCCAGTTACGGTGGACAAGGTCAGTGGCGATAACGTCAGTCCTGGTTCCGGTAAGTGCATTGTATCTTATAATTCCAAGATTTTTTTTTTTTTGGGACAATACTGAAGACAATTTGGTTCAATGCTAACTCTAAGTTTCGGATTAACTGTAAATATGAAATTTGACAGTGTTAATTCAATCATTTTGTAGTTCGGCTGAAATAAACTTTAAACACGAAAAGTTGATTCAGCTTCTATGTATGTATGTACTTGTATTCCTTTCTATCTATGTATATATTTAACCATCTATTAGTGTAATCAGCAAAAATAGGCCCCGTGTCTGAATTTTGGATTTTGAGATGGACAATGAAAACCTTTTGAATAAATTTTGGACTAATTGGGTTATTTGTCCTCTGTTAAAGACGGTTCACCAAGTGTTAATGCCGAGAACGTCCTTGAAGAAAGGGATCCACAGTATGATGCTATGCTAAGTCAAATGATTGGTAGAATTCAATCTAAGCCTGGAGGGAAACTGGAAACGGGCGAGGTGAGTTTATGAGAATTTTTACTTTATCAATGGTTTTCTTTATGTTCAAATACTGTTAAAAACTTCCCTGTTCAGCCTGTAATTTATTTACTTCTATTGAATTGGAGAGCAATTTGATCATCAGATTCCTTTCTTACGTCTATTTATATACATAAAAGTTTCGGACATCATATCACATTTGCTTGGATTGTGAGTCCGAAGGCAATCATATATACAAACATTGTTTTTATTACTAGTACTATAATTAGGGTGTCTGATTATGGTTTGTTGACAAGTGATGCATTGGTTAATTTTTACTGTGACTCCGTCTTAAACTTTGAACAAATTAAGGACAACTAGCGAGATGTTATTGCTAGAGCTATATGATATCTTATGCCAAGGAGGAAGTTGTGTGGATTCAACTGTAAAGCCACTGAGATGATGGAAAGGACACGCAATAAAGTAGGTTGCATTTTGTGTCTTGATTGCTTCATTGTTGTGTTTTGTCTACTCTCTTTGAGAGTGTGAGTGTGTGTTTGCTTTTTACTTATTCATTTTTTGAGGCGGAAGAGGAGGGGGAGGAGCAAAATCTTCTAGATAAATCCTTCCCTTATATGTTTATGTATGTTCCACAAAGTTTAAAAACTGGTGTTTTCTTTCTTGGACCAAACACCTTGTTTTCCTGTGGTATTGTTGGCTTATTAATAGCCATTATCAGATATGATCTTGTACTCATGCTCTGTTCCTGTTGCCCCAAAGATTTGTCGAGTTAAGTTGGGTTGTAGTGCTTTGTTACTGAGGAAGGCTTGCAACACACCCGATTCCTACTTGCAGCCTTCTCTTTTTGCTGATCCAATGAATTTCTGATGATAGTGATCGTGCTAAGCCCTCTTTAACAAATTAGATGGTTTAACTCTACAATATTTTAAGGAAGAGACTGTTATTCAGTTTTCTGTCCCTCCCTCTTCCAGCATGGGGCATTTGGCCTTAGTATGTGAATTTTTCCCAATTCCCCTCTTCTTAAATATACAATGCATGTAGACACTGCTTGTGTATATCAATGGGTTATTATCGACTTTATATCTCTTCCGGAGGTTGCAACTTGCAAGGATGAAAATAGCAATGAGCTCTTTTCTTCTAAAGCAACACCAACTATGGAAGCAACCATGTTAGAGCTAAGGAATTAACTGAGTGACCTAGTTGAGTTATATGAAATCATCCTGAGCACCAGGTCCTCAATAGGTTGCCTCTTTTGTACTTATAGTGCTCAAAGAAGAATCCTAGTTTGTTTTATGTTAAATAACTTAAACCCACCGATATTGTATTTTGTCTCACTAATCAAGCGACAGCCTGCCAATCTCTTGGGACAACATGTTGGACCTGGGAATATTCTTCTGACAAATTTTCTTGCGTCTCTGAAGTTTGTTTAATAGACTACCATTAACTTAATAATCTACTGGAAAAAAAGGAGCTTACCCCACGTACCTTTGTTCATTTTGTTGCTAGCATGTCGCATGGTAACATGCTTTCATTGATGGATTGGTTGGTATGCCTTGGTGATTGGTTCCACTTCGAACATTACCTATTTATATCAAGTCAGTTGTAATCAGTATCCAGTTTACTGTCACATTATCTATTTATATCATGTCGGTTGATAATCCGTTTCCAGTTTACTGTCACAGGCATTTGTGGTGGAGAAGTATAATAGACCTATGCCAAAATTGAGGAATACAACACCAGAGTCTGACAGATTCGAGGAAAGGCCTGTTCCTCCAGGAACCCTGAATGTTTCACAAATACGCCACATTATACTTCTGCATCAAGGCAAGACTGATGATCATGACGGGCCTATGGATATTCCCCAGATTGCTGAGCGTTTCCGAGTTGATTCTGTGCAGATTGAAAGGATCTTGCGGTCCTTATCACTGCCTCCAGAGGACAGTAGTGAAAAGAAAGATGAAAAATAATGACCACCTATATTCACTTGCCATTTTGCTTTACTCACATAACACCATTGCACGAGGGATCTACTTTGTAAGAATGAGAATGCATTGAAGTTTGATGCTCAATATATTATCATAAATTTTTGTAGGAAATTTTATTGCATTCATATATTTCAGGGCCATATTCATGTACTGTACATCTGGGGAAGATGTTGCTTTTGCAGCTGTGTTAGAGATGTTCTATTGTCCCGGTTATAGAATTTTTAGAGTTTCAAGATGTGGTAGCTATTGTTTAATTNAAAAATAAAAGTAAGATTGCACTTATGAAGGATCTAGCTTTGCTGCTCATACAGGCTTGTACTTTGGTATCTTTCAGTTCTAAGTTTTGCTGCATCCTTGGAAGATTGTTCCAGCCCCATTGCTGAAATTTTGTGTTATATCTGGTAATTGCGTCAATGGCACCATTGTGTTTCTCTATGATCCAGTGAAATATTCCCCGTAAACACACATAAAAGAGCATAGAGAAGGTACCCAACAAGAAATGAATAAATGCAAATAGAATCAAAAAAACCTATTGTGCCCTCCAAACTTGATGATTCTGCCTTGACATTTTTGTTATATAATATGCCTAATGAGTATGTCTTTTGAATTGCACTAATATGTTGAATTTGACATTCTCTGTATCTCTAGTTTGAGTTTTTTAAAACATGCTTATATTAGTTGTGACAACTATTGTGTGAGCTATTTTGTTCCAATCTCTGTTTAACTTTAAGTTCTGTAGCAAAATTGACGTCACGTTTCAACTTCTTAACAGATGGACCTGTTAAGCTTGTTGACTGAATTATTCAATAGGCACGATTTTGGTAAGAGGAAAATTACACTTGATAATCAAATGTGCCTAATTAATATGATGTTATGAGGGTTAGCTTACATGTGCAAAACTGCTCTCATCTAGGACTGTTATTTATATGTCGATGGATACTATGTCTCAATATTATAGGGTTAAGAATAGTAGGGTAGTATGTGTAAATTATTAATAGAAAGAGAGTGTATATATAATTCTNTGTGCAAAACTGCTCTCATCTAGGACTGTTATTTATATGTCGATGGATACTATGTCTCAATATTATAGTGTTAAGAATAGTAGGGTAGTATGTGTAAATTATTAATAGAAAGAGAGTGTATATATAATTCTTATTATTACAGGTTAATTATAAATACAAGTGATGTATGAGAGCTAGGTTAACTTTTTAACCTCTCTCTGTTTCTCCCTAAATATTGTTTCTAATATTATGTTAATCTTCCAAACTTAACATGGTATCAAAGCAAGGTTACAATCCTAAATATATTTCTTGAATATATTTGTGGTCTGTTTGTGGTGGTGTTACTATTGTTTGTTGAAGCTACAGTGGTACTGGTGTTACTGTTGTTCGCCGTCGTGTTTGCGATTCGTTGTGGTGGTGTAGCGATCGTGGTGGTCTGTTTTTCATTGTGGTGGTGGTTGTGTAGTCGAAGATTATCGTTCACCGTTTGTTTGTTGTGGTGGTGTAGTGGGTGTAGTGATCATGGTGGTCTGTTCATTGTGATGGTGGTTGCGCAGTCGAAGACCAGGGTTATAGTAACCCTAATCGACGAAGAAGAATAGGTGTAGCACTCGTGGTGATTGTTGCGTAGTAGAAACTAGGGTTACAGTAACCCTAATCGACGAAGAAGAAAGGGTCCAGACCCAGAAAAGGTCCAGACCCAACTTCAGACAACGGATTTAAATTGTTTTAGCCCAGCTTGGTTCAGACCACCCTGTTCAGACCGGTTCAGTGGTCTAGAGGGCTAAACCAATCTGGTTCAGATCGATTTTACTCTGGTTCAACTGTCTAGAGGGCTAAACCAGTCCAGTTCAGGCTTCCAATAGCCTCAGCAAGGCCGGTTCAGTGATTCAGAGGGCTAAACTAGTCTGGTTCAGTGTTCCAGTAGGTCTTTCTAGTCTGGTTCAGCAGATTTCTAGTTTCCCCATCCGGTTCAGAAGGTCTTCAAGCAATTTCAGTAGGTTTCCAAGCCGGTTCAGCCCTTTCAGGCCTGGTTTAGTCGGTTTTAGACCGATTCAGGTCCGATTTAGTCAATTTTAAGTCGATTTAGGTCTGTTCCGTTTGTTTTATTTTCGGTTCAGCAGTCCAGTGGATTTCTCTGGTCTGGTTCAGCAGTCCAGTGGACTCCTTTGGTCCGATTCAATGGACTCCTTTGGTTCGGTTCGGTTTGATTTGGTTCGGCAGTGCAGTAGGTGATTCTTGTCCGATTCAGTGATCTAGGATCTAGTGATTTTCTTTTTTCATTTGCTACACTTATGAAACTCAAACAAGACACTGAGTTGGTTACTATTACACGAGAGAAGTATGCTCAGTTCTTATCCCAGCAACAGACTATCCCATCTTCCTCCACTACTACTTTTGCCCAATCAGGTAATGCTTCCACTTGTTTATTGTCCTCCACTCGCAGTCCCTGGATCATAGATTCTGGCACTTCTAACCACATGATTAGTGCGTCTGATGTTTTTTCTACTTATCAGTCTGCTACTTCTACACGTAGTGTTACTCTTGCTAATGGTACTTGTTCTAAAGTTTCAGGTTTGAGAAATACTCACTTGAGTCTTGATATGTCTCTATCTTCTGTGTTATTTGTTCCTCAGTTTGCTTTTAGTTTGCTTTTCATTACCAAAATTACTCGTTTTCTTAATTATTTTGTAACATTTTATCTCNCTATCTTCTGTGTTATTTGTTCCTCAGTTTGCTTTTAGTTTGCTTTTCATTACCAAGATTACTCGTTTTCTTAATTATTTTGTAACATTTTATCTCTCTTATTGTGTCTTTCAGGATCTTAAGACGAAGAGAAAGATTGGTACAGGGCATGAAGTTGGTGGTCTATATTACCTTGACTTTGATTCACTTACCCGGGCTCTACAAACCTCGTTGTCTCTTTTTCAATGGCATTGTCGTCTTGGACATCCCTCTCTCCAAAGTTTGAAGCGTCAAGTTCCCAGTCTTAGTTATGTGTCATCTTTGTCTTGTGAAGCTTATTAACTTAGTAAGTATCACCGTGTGTCATTTCAGTCTAGAGTTTATAATCGTGTATCTAGTCCATTTGAGTTAGTACATTCTGATGTATGGGGTCCAATAAAAAATATTTCATCTAATAAATATCCTTATTTTGTGATATTTGTAGATGACTATTCTCATGTGACTTGGTTGTTTTTGATGAAAGCTCGGTCTGAATTATTCTCTATTTTTGAGACCTTTCGTAAGGAAATAAAAATTCAATATAGTTGTCATATACGTACTTTACGTTCTGATTATGCTTGAGAATATGAATCTAATCTTTTTTCATCTTATCTTAGTAAAATTGACNTAGATGACTATTCTCATGTGACTTGGTTGTTTTTGATGAAAGCTCGGTCTGAATTATTCTCTATTTTTGAGACCTTTCGTAAGGAAATAAAAATTCAATATAGTTGTCATATACGTACTTTACGTTCTGATTATGCTTGAGAATATGAATCTAATCTTTTTTCAGCTTATCTTAGTAAAATTGACATTATTCATCAGACTTCTTGTGCTTACACCTCTCCCCAGAATGGTGTTGTTGATTGCAAGAATTGTCATTTGTTGGAAGTCACACGTACCCTGTTATTCCAGATGAATATTCCCTGATATTTTTGGAGTGATGCAGTTCTTACTGCTTGTCATCTTATTAATCGTATGTCATCCTCTGTGTTAAATGGGCAAAGTTCATATTCTGTCTTTTTTCCTAGTAAGCCTTTATTTTCCCTGACTCCTAAAATTTTTGGATGTGTCTGTTATGCTCACAATTTAGGTCCTAGGTTTGACAAACTTGACTCTCGAGCTACCAAATGTGTATTTCTTGGTTACTCTCGCACGCAGAAGGGGTATCGTTGCTACAGTCCTTCTTTGCACCGATACTTTATTAGTGTCGATGTCACGTTTGAAGAATCTGTTCTATACTTTCCAGCACCTTCTCAGCCTTTGGATCTGGACTTTGGATCATCTCTTGTACCACCATCTTCAAATATTCCGCTGCTCACTGTGTTCCCATCTACTTTACCTCTCCGTGTCTATTCTCGCCGTCCTCGTCCATCGACTGAGGTACCCGTACCGTCTTCCTTGCCACCTTCTGATCCTGGTACATCAGGTAATTTAGACTCTTTATCTATTGCTCTTCGCAATGGTACTCGTTCGTGTGTTACTAATCATCTCATTTCTTATTTTGTTTCATATGATGCCTTGTCTCCTGTCTTCTCTTGTTTTACTTCCCAATTATTTGCTATATCTATTCCTAAGTATTTACAGGATGCATTATCTGATCCGGATTGAAGGAAAGCTATGGAGGAGGATATGGATGATTTACATCATAATGAGACTTGGGATCTCGTTCCTTTACCNTGATCCGGATTGAAGGAAAGCTATGGAGGAGGATATGGATGATTTACATCATAATGGGACTTGAGATCTCGTTCCTTTACCCCCTGGTAAACGAACTATTGGCTGTCGTTGGGTGTATACTGTTAAATTTCATCCAGATGGTTCTTTGGAGCGTTTCAAAGCCCGACTTGTTACAAAGGGCTTTACTCAGACTTATGATGTTGATTATGAGGAGACTTTTTCTCCTGTTGCCAAAATGTCCTCTGTTCGTATTTTGATTTCTTTAGCTACTAATCTTGATTGACCCTTGTTTCAGTTAGGCATCAAGAATGTCTTTCTACATGGTGACTTGGTTGAAGAGATTTACATGGAGCAGCCACCTGGGTTTACTGCTCGGGGGGAGTATGGTAAAAATGTATGTCGGTTAAAGAAATCTTTGTATGGTTTGAAGCAGTCACCGAGGGCATGATTTGATAAGTTTTCAGATGTAATTTTAGAGTTTGATTTTCTTTGATGTCAGACAGATCATTCTGTGTTTCATAGACAGACAGATGCTGGATATGTCCTATTGGTGGTCTATGTAGATGATATTGTGATTACTAAAAATGATTTTGAGGGGATTGCCAAGTTAAAAATATTCTTACAGGATCGATTTCATACTAAGGATTTGGAAAAACTTAGGTATTTCTTGGGTATTGAGATGACTCGATCTAAACAGGGTATTTGTTTATCCTAGAGAAAATATGTACGTGACATGCTTGAGGAAACAGGTTTGCTGGGTGGTAGACTAATTGATGTTCCTATGGAT